GCGGCGGCTGGCAGCAGCGGCGGCTGGCAGCAGCTGCTGACAGCAGCAGTAGCTGACAGCAGCGGCAGCTGACTCCATCCACAAAATTGGCGCCAAAACCCGCGTGGTACCCACGTACTGGCCCGCCAAAGTTTTTTTGGGGTCAGTTCATAACCCGAGGATCTGAGAAGCTGGAATACTGAAATCTTAGGGTAATGTACCGCGTCCAAGTGGGTATTAACGAGTTCAAACCCTGCCCGTGCGTTGGCCAATTATAAATAATTGGCACGCAGAATGTCAGAGCCGTCACAGGAGAAAGCAATATCCAAAAAACAGGGATTTCGTTTTACTAGCGATCAACTTGCGAGGAAGTAAACGAAAGTTGGCTCACTGGAACACAGACGTCGAACAAGAGATAGATACCAACTGGAGTACGGATTTGAAGTAACAACGAAAAGTGGATGAAAGCATCAAAAGTAAATAAAAGCCCACCTCGCCAGTGCTTGTATGTAAGCGTTCCGCTCCAAGGCCAGACGAAATATGCAAGCAATTCGTATTCCAAGTCGAAATCCTTGCAAGCACCACGATATGATGTGCTCATCTTCCGATGTTTGCAGGCCAATACTGAATGCTGCCAGACAAGGTGTCCAAGCAATCTAAATACTACAAATAAAGTCAAAAAAAAAAACTTCCTCACCATGAAAATTGGTCTTTTGCGATGAATAAATGTATTGTGTAATAACTATAATTACCACGATTGTATGAAAGAGCAAACAAGCACTACGTGATAAATTACTCCACTGTACAAAGTTTTCTGTTAGCAAATACGCCACACTTAACCATAATTTAATAGTCTGGTTCTTCAGTATGCAGCTGACAGCTTTCCCAGTTGCTCTGACCAATGCTACATTGTCTGGTAGCCCAAAGCATACTAGCAACCCCAAAATTCGTTTCGTCGCTTCAGATCTGAATTGCCAAAATCATACATGAAGTATATATTAAAATACCTTAAACATGGGTCTGACGTGTTCGTAGTGCGAGGCGGAGGTGAAGGCAGCTTCATAATGTGAAGCTGCTTCCATAAGGGCTCGTGCTGTTTGTGCCATCGCTGCCAATTCCACATCTTGCAAAAGTTTACGCTGTCGCTCTGATGTCGCTTGCGCATCTAAACGAGAAAACAAAGCAAAACGCAGTAAAGTTCAGGGATCATCATACATTCAAAACTCTGCTACTATTGCTCTGTCGACGAGGCACTCAAAAATGGCTAAAATAATAGCAATCTGCCAAAAATAAGCATCTTTGGGGGGCTACACTGCCAAACTTACAAACTACCATACTTTGTTTTGGGAGTTTGTTGAGGCCTGGCTTCATCTTAATCTCATGGCCAGCAATTTCATCATAAATGTCGGACAGATAATCCCGCGGCAAATCCGATTGGTCGTTTATTCCTCTGTTCATTGCAATATACTGCTCTTTTGTCATCTTATTTCGAACCTGAAAGCAGCTATGATGAGGTTATTAACGAATCGCAAGACAGACAAAGTTTAGAGAAATTCTTGTAAGGACGTTAATAATACCAAAAAGCACAGGTGTCTCAATTTGAACGGATAAAAGTGGCTGAAATTAACAGAATTCAAGCTGAAGTTACCTGCGGACTGTGCAAGTCGGTTGTTAGCATAATGATCGAATAAGCCAGCACATAAGCAGTATCGGCAGAAGCGAAAAGACCGAGACTGAAAATTGAACAGAAATTCAAAAACCGGATAACTGGAAACTTATTATGGCAGCTGCCCAAAAGCGGGAAAAAAAGACCGTGGGGAGGGGAAGAAGGCTCTTTTATTGCCCGCATATAAGGAAAGTGCAAAAAACAGAGTCAAGTAAAGATTCAGCAGGATGGCAGCGGATGCTAGTCAATGCGTGTAAAATTTAGCTTAAGCGAGCCAAGATTTCCACAATCCTTACTTTGGATTACATTCACAGTAGCGCGATGCGAATTTCTCCATCAAACGATCAATTTTTTGCGCTTCACCGGGAAGCCGGAACCCATCTAGAAATTGTCGGAGAGCGGCAACGAACTCACGGCCCGCAAAATCCATCTGATCAACGTACGCATACATCACACGCTTATTAAAGCTGAAAATGCAATATCAGT